TTAACAACAAACTCCCAAACCAACTTGCCTTCAATTCTAAGAAGTTAATTTTAAGATCGTGCAACAATATATTTACTAATTGAGTTGGAAACGGACCGGTAAAAGAAAATAATATAAGCAAAGTATTCAAGGCATCCACGTAATTTAATGTCCATGTAATTCACATAAAAAGAAAGAAAGAAATTCTCAAAGCAATTTTTCTTGTCTGTAGACATTATAAAATGATATTAGTTGGAATATTTGGCTGTGAGATGGGCAGGAATGAAATTCAAATAATTAATCTACTATGGCCCTCTCACAACTTAAAGTGTTTGATGAATACCGTATTCGACGTAATAAGTGCCCCGCTCTAATAAGCGCCCACGGCATGATTTGTTAATTTATTGGCTAGTGAACAATCCCAATTAGCACCCCTTCCGATTGATCAATGTACACAAGACTTATTTATTCGTGTATAATATGCACTCGTGTGTTATATGCACCCTTAATTATGGGCAATTAAATTCTGGAAAAATATATCTGTCGTATACAAACATTTTCAGGCTGTCAGCATAAACCATGAAATTTATCTTTCAACTCTTTTGTTTTTTTCCACCAAAATGATATTCTAATAAGAGACCCCTATTTCTAATTTTGAGAGCGTCCTGGTCACGTATTACGTCGAAGAAGGTAAATGAAATTTGTCTACTTGAATTACCAGTGTAAAACAATATTGACTAATTTACATGGTCACATTCAGCTCTAATATTTCGATACTGCAGTTTTTGTCCTGCATGACACAATATGTGTATTTTGTGGAAAACATTACCAAAAAATATATAGATAATATAAAAGCAAGTCTAGCCAGCTGCATTCCACAGCATCAAGAACATGTTTTTAGAGGAGTGAAATGTATAGTGTAATAACAGATTCATAGGCTATACGTGAGACCTATAAGTGCTTATGTACTCTCTTCTATTGAATGAGTTAGCAGTAATTCACCAGTATAATGGGCCTCGTTTATAAGACTATCAGATGATCATGGCGTTAAACTTGCCAGCGTACTGAAGCATTATGGGAAATACATCCCATCAAATAGAAATGTATCTGTTAATAAACAATGTAGCTGTTATGTGTAGATATATTCTGTTTCAACACTCAACACATCTTGAAAGAAAAGGGCGGTAAAGATGGAGGCTCCCTCGTCATGAGTCCGCTAGACGGGGTCCAGATGGTGTCATTGGCACCCAGTGTCGGGTATCAGCAGGGTAGTGGGTATGGTTGTTGCTAAATTTAGTGAATAAGCCTTGAGTTAGCAGATGGTTAATAGGTGCAATTGTTTAGTTTCAAACTTGCTGAGATTGCAAATTCCATTGGACCTTGAAAGTGGTGCTGATGTGTGAGTGAGTGAGTGAGTTGGGTTTGATGATGCTTTTAGCAATATTCCAGCAATCTCAAGGCAGGAGACACCACAAATGGGCTTCACACATTGTATCCATGTCGGGAATCAAACCCGGGCCTTTGGCATGACAAGCAAACGTTTAACCACTAGGCTACCCCACCTCCCCTGAAAGGGATATTAAGACTCAGACCAACTGACAGTACTGGCGAGGTAGATTCAGTTCAGAACTCACTTTGTCTGCAGAATCAAATCTTATTATTTACTTCAATCTGACAGTTGATGATGACTGTGTATACACCGAGACGATGCCTCAGTTTCACGTCATGCATTTAGTACAGTATGTCCACATATATTGCATTGACCTGAATTTGTCTAGATTGACTTTGATTTGAGATGGAACCCGTGAAGATCCGGGGTAGAATAGGTCTTCAGCAACCCATGCTTGTCATAAAAGGCGACAATGCTAGTCGTAAGAGGCGACTAACAGGAACGGGTGGTCAGACTCGCTGACATGAATGATGCGTGTCCTCGTCTTCCAATTGCATGGATCGATGCTCATGATGTCAATCACTGGATTGTCTGGCCCAGATTTGATTATTTCTCATACTGCTGCATAAAGCTGCACTATTGCTGAGTGCTGTGTTAAACAACAAACAAACAAACAAACTGATTTGAGATGGGCTCCAAACAATGGTTCGTAATCCATCTTAAAATGAAAACTGTGTATTACTTCAGGGATGTATTCAGGAATTTCATAAGTGTTCTGGTGTCCATCAGATGTGTGGATGAGAAAAGTACACCCATTCTCATGTGTATTATATTGATCATCTTAAGTAATTATATTCATTTTCCCTTTGGAAAGTAATATACATTTTTGTCAACATTTTTATGTGGAGATTGAAGAATGATGAATGTATAGACATTTAGAAGTGATTTACATTCTGAAGAGTTTGCAATGTGTAGGATGTCCGAGGTAGTGCCATGAGCAATTGCTTGAACCGTGAATGGAATCTGGCACATTATTATTATCATCATCATCATCATCATATTCATCATCAATGGAATCTGGCACATTATTATTATTATCATCATCATCATATTCATCATCATCATATTCATCATCATCATCAAGTGGCGGTCGGGTAGCCTAGTGGTTAAAGCGTTCGCTCGTCACGCCGAAGACCCGGGTTTGATTCCCGACATGGGTACAATGTGTGAAGCCCATTTCTGGTGTCCCCCGCCGTGATATTGCTGGAATATTGCTAAAAGCGGCGTAAAACCAAACTCACTCACTCACTCATCATCATCATATACAGTGGAGCCATTCTGACATGAAATAAACTTAAAATGTCTCAATAAATATGTTTAAGAGCACACTTATTGCCTTTCAAAATGTGGTCATTGCCCTTTCAAAGGCCTTAAATTTGTTTGCCCAAGATTTGTATGAACCATGAACAGACATGGGTGGATATTATTATAAGTCCCATATACATGCCCATCATCTATACGAGAGGTGAGATAAACCACACAGCAGCCTCACACAACTGCATCAGTCCCAGCCTCAGTCTGGATGAGTTGTCTCCCCTTGATAAGCTCAATCAGCATTTCGCTGTAGATTAAGATAAACAATTATCAGCGCACATGATAGAGGTCACTTCCTGGTGTGGATACATCACAATGCCCAGCATCAGACAACTCAAGAGACAAGATGCCGTACACTCGAGATTCTATGTTGACATCAAGGTTTTGTAACGGTTCTAGTTTACATGTTCTGTGACAGGAGCAGGCCTCAGTGTTGGTCTATATGCTTGTAGTGAAAGACCATGTTTGATGTTTACATCAAACGTTATTCTTGTTTTTGGACAATGGGACACAGTCATCATTTGTATTGGTATCAATAATATTTACACAGAACCACCACTACTACTACTGCTAATAATATTCCATTTGTATTGATGTTATTTATTGTTATCCATATTATCAGCACTATTGTCATTATTATTATTGTCTTATGTTATCATTCATGCTTTTTTTTATTCTATCTAACATGGAAATAATATATTGATATATTTCAAACCTGTATACAAAATGTTTTCAGTCTTCCCGAGTTGGTAAATACATGTATGATATTCATGGGACCTATTATTCCTAAAAAAAAATTTCATTGGCCATACTAACTTACCATACTCGACATAATAAGCACCCGGGGCGCTCTCAAAATTAGAAATAGGAGGTTCTTATTAGAATATAATTTTGGTGAGAGAAAAAACAGAGTTGAAAGATTGTAAATTTCGTAGTTTATGCTGACACTCAGAAATGATACAAAAGAAAAGTATGTGCGTATCATACACAACAGATATATTTTCTAGAAATTAATTGCTCATAATTAAGGCAGCATCTAAAACAAGAGTGCGTATTAAACACGATTAAATAAGTCTTTTGAACATTGATCAATCGGAAGGGGTGCTAATTGGGATTGTTCACTAGTCAATATATTAGCAAATATCGCCGCTGGCGCTTATTACATCGAATGCGGTATTAGATTTTCACCGTTGCGTGCCTCAATACTAAGCACACCGCCTCGTGCCATGGTACTGCACCAAGTACCTGCAGACGAAGGAAACAGATACACATGTTTCCCCCTTCTTGACTTCATGTGGGCAGTGGGGTAGCCTTGTGGTTAAAGCTCTCGCTCGTCACGCCAAAGACCCAGGTTCGATTCCCCTCGCACACTCACTCACTCACTCGTTCCCACCCACCCACTCCCTCGCTCACTCCATGAAATACACCATATACCTAGTCCAACCAATCAGTCATGTGAATCACATCTATCAATAATTGAAAATACCTTGAACAATTAGTTTAAATGAAACAAATTAATAAACAATCGCTTTTTGAAACAATTTCATAAAAATATAATAATACATTTATTGTAGGATTACTGCTAGATTGTTATACAAAACATAACTTGAAATACCAGTCAAACATCCTGGGACAGTCACTAGGCCCAAGGGAGAGCGGAAGGTCCGGGGTTCGATCCCCGGCTGCGTCATACCAAAAGGCGTTAAAAGATGGTACTTGTTGTTACCCTGTCTGGCGCTTGTCATTAAGGGGTTAAAACAAGGACTGGTTGGCTCGGAGTCAGTATACTGTGTCTGAGTGGGGTATTCATGTTAAACTGCGTCATGGTATCTCAGTGAGCTGGGAATATAAATCGACATCAGTCCGGACTAATACAAGCAGCCACACAAACACACACACATACATGCACGTCGCTTTATAAGTGCAATAATCTTGGACCCGACGTTAAACCCCATTTCACCTCACCTCACTAGGCCCAAGATAAACACACCTTTACTTAATAATGTATTATTAAATATGAAAAATGAAACGCCTCCCCCCCTCACGCCATGTGTTAAAAACTTAAAAAACAGTCAATTATGTATTGCAGTTATGGCTTTACTATTAAATACTTTCACTCCTACATTTCCTTTATTAATGTCGCTTCTTTTTTTCAGAATGTTGCCATGTGAGCTGTCAACATAGGATGAACTTTAATAGATCTACTTTGAGTTAAGATGTGCTGTGGGACTTTATTTTGTTTGTTTGTTTGTTGTAGGTTTGTCATCATCCCCAGTGCACGGAGGAGAACCAGGACCGGCCGCTGTTGCTGTGCCATCAGTGTGACCTTGACATTCATAAAAAGCCAGAGTTCACAGGTCATCTCGTTCTTGATGCTCCCAAAAGACGTAAGTGGTTTATTATCAATTATTGGAATGATTGGTAAACTGGCCATCGGCTTATCTTGTTGCATACATGATTTTAGTGCACACTTATGAAAGATAACATTCAATAATAAGATTTAACATTGCAGTCTTTCAATATATTTAAATATTAATATTATTAATCTTTAACAATTTAAACCGTGATTGGTGAATTTAATTTGCAAATTATCCATTTGTATAATAAAACATTATTTCTTAGAATATAATTATTGGACATACAAATGAATAATGAATTGTATTGTCACAAGTAGCGCCACAAGAGCATGAGGTATCATTTGAAATAACTTTATCATCTTTATATAAATTACGATCACTCCAACATTATCGAAGTCGAGAGGGTATTACTTGGCTGAATCGGGGGTGGGGTGGTCGAGTGGTCGAGTGGTTAAAGCATTCCCTCATCACGCCAAAGGCTCGGGTTCGATTCCCCACATGGGTACAATGGGTAAAGCCCATTTCTGGTGTCCCCTGCCGTGATATCGCTGGAATATTGCTGGAATATTGCTTAACACGGCATAAAACCACACTCACTCACTTGGCAGAATCTGTTTCCCAAATTTATATTAAATCCAATTTTGTGTTCTAATTTAGATGTGATCTGGTCCAATAATGTGTTTACTTGCCATGTGGCTTTGTTGATGTGATGAGACTGTGTTATTAATGTAATACGTACATCATCAATGTCTCGTGCATGATGACATCACAGTATATTATTCCAGGGCAGAAGCCCCCAGAACCAGTGCTTGTCATAAGGTTGACTGAAATCTGTGGTCACAATGGCCGACTGTAGTATCATTAGCCATTGGCATGCATCAGTGCGCTTGCTATCATTGGTTGGTTTGCCTGTCCCTGTTTCCATGCTGGTGTATGTGATATTGCAATGGAACACGTGAAGACTGAATCATAGTTTAATTAATGTTTTTGTTTGTATACCCAAGTGATTTACATCCAGCTGTCACAGGACTCAGACACTCCACCATGTTTTGGATGCTTAACATTGTTTAATTACCGTCTTCGACGTAATAAGCACCCCGCTCTAATAAGCACCCACGGGGATATTTGCTAATATATTGGCGAGTGAACAATCCCAATTAGCACCCCTTCCGATTGATCAATGTACCAAGACTTATTTATTCTTGTATAATATGTGTGTTATCTGCATCCTTATTTATGGGAAATTAAATTCTTGAAAAATATATCTGTCGTATATAAACATTTCAGGCTGTCAGCATCAACCACGAAATGTACGATCTTTTATCTCCGTTGTTTTTCACCAAATTAATATTCTAATAAGAGCCCCTATTTCTAATTTTGAGAGTGCCCTGGGCGCTTATTATGTCGAATACGGTATCTTTTTTTTTTACGAAATATACTATATTTGACAGATAATATTATAGTATTTAATGTTGTCAACACCTGTTGCAGGGTGTGACTGTTGTCCATTACAACTACATATATAATGTATGGTTGAATCACATCCCTTGGGTGTGTCTGTTTTCATTGTATCACTGTTATATTATTTCTCCATGGCTTGACATGTGGGGCGGACGGGTAGCCTAGTGGTCAAAGCGTTCGCTTGTCACGTCGAAGACCAGGGTTCTATTCCCGACATGGGTACAATGTGTGAAGCCCATTTCTAATGTCCCCCGCCGTGATATTGCTGGAATATTGCTAAAAGCGGCGTAAAACCATACTCACTCACTCACTCACTTGACATGTATCCAGTTCACATTTTTGTAAAAACAAGAAGAATATGTGTTTTTCATATTTGTGAGGGTGGTTTGTTAGCAGAGTGGTTAGAGTGTTTGCTTATAACACCAAAGGACTTGGGTCCAGTTCCCAAATAGGATAGATATGTAAGACCCATACTTGGTGTCCGCAGCTGTGATATTTGTGGCAGTGTTATACCATGTTCATTATATTGAGACCCCCTCCATGGTCTAGTGGTTACTTTTTTAAAGAGCGTCACCTGTAGAGCGGAGGTTTGGGGTCGATCTCGTGTCATAACAAAAGACGTTAAAAAGATGGTACTTGTTGTTACCCTGCCTGGTGCTCGGCATTAAGGGGCTAAAACAAGGACTGGTCAGCTTGGAGTCAGTATTCTGTGTCTGAGTGGGGTATTCATGTTAAACTGCAGAATGGTATCTCAGTGGGCTAGCACTGTGAAATCGGCATTAGTCCGGACTAGTACAAGCAGCCACACACATATGGCTATATAAGTGCAGTAACCTTGGACACAATGTTAAACCCCGTTTCACCTCAGCTCATTATATCGATGTCTGTTTTCTTTCAGGTAAACCCATTTTATCCCACATCTCGTCCCCTGAGTCTGGTAACCATAGCAACAGTGAGGCTGGGGAGGAGTCTGAGGGGGATGAGGATACTGTAGATGGTATCTACATCAAGAACACAGAGAAGGCGAAAAGGTACGTTTTCTTACACACAAACATACACCCAAACACACTGAAAACACATAATCAATTCTAGCTCGAAATGAATGACAAAAAAACTATTTTTTCAGTACATCCCGAAATGAGATTCAAACCCGTACAATGACATCGTTGTGAATTGTTTGATTGGCATATCTTAGAAGTTGACAGATGACAAAGTAGACATAATTTATGGATAACAACTTCTTTATTGACTGTAAAGGCAACATTTCAGTATAGACCCTTATACCATTGTCAAGGTTGACAACGGTATAAAGATCTATACCGAAACGTTGCCTTTTCAGTAAAAAATGAGTTGTTATCCATAAATTGTCTACTTTTAATGACATTGTTGTGTTTGACTATCCATGAGATAGAACAACTTGATTTGATTTTTGTGGCCGTTATGCCAAATATTACAAGAATTTGAATATGTGTTTTCAAAGTGTATCAGAATATATCCTTGTAGGATGGTGTTTTGTACAATAGAGAGGGGCGAACACTGTCAAATATTAGGCACTACTTTTTAGTCATGCGTCACCCAAATTTGTTGTGAGAGTTGTCTCCCTTCATTGTGCCATGGTTTTGAATCTAGATTGTTCCTTATAACGATCCTGTGTCCATCAATATCATGTCCCTACCATAGGCGTCTATGAATCGGGTGGTCAGGTTCAGAGACTTGGTTGATTGCATATCATCATATCCGGACGTTGTGGATCGTTGCTCACAGTATCAATCACTGGATTGTGTGGTCTAGACTTGATTTAACTGCCTCCGTGGTCTAGTGGTAGAGCGTCCGCCCGCACGAAGGTCCGGGGTTAGATCCCTGACCGCGTCATACCACAAGATGTTAAAAAATGGTACTTGTTGTTACCCCGTCTGGCGCTCGGCATTAAGGGGCTAAAACAAGGACTGGTCGGCTCGGAGTCAGTATATTGTGTCTGAGTGGGGTATTCATGTTAAACTGCGACATGGTATCTCAGTGAGCTAGCACTATAAATCGGCATCAGTCCGGACTAGTACAAGCAGCCACACAAACACACACACGTACATGCACGTCGCTATATAAGTGCAATAATCTTGGACGCGATGTTAAACCCCATTTCACCTCACCTCACCCAAACTTAATTATTTCAAAACTGCCATCATATAGCTGGAATATTGAGTCCAGCATTAAAAAAAAGCAAAACAACACTTCATCACAGAATCATCACAAAGGGAAGGATCTGTGACTCGCATCACGCTGATCTTTTCATCCACATTAAGCTGTCACGCCGCAATATTACTGAAATACTGTTCCCAACAGCATCACTCACTTCATGGGAGAAATTGTCATGGGATCTACCCTGTAAAGATGCGGGTTAGAATAGGTCTTCAGCAACCCATGCTTGTCAAAAGAGACGACTAACGGGATCATATCCCAACTGAAAAGATCAATGCTCATGATGTCAACCACTGGATTATTTGGTCAAGACTTGATTATTTATGGCCCGCCGTCCTATTCCTGAAATATTGCAGGTGAGGTGGTAAACAAGAAACAAACAGTTGAGGAAAAGTATCATATTTTATGACTGCTTCATCAAGTTTGAGTACTGACCACTGATTGTGTTCATATTGATCACTGCAGTGAAAAAAATATTTCGGATTAAATATATAATTTTTTCTTTTTGTTTATTCATATTTTGTGAACAATGTTTTGGTTCATCGCCTCCGCTAATCCTGTCATCACAGATTAATCCTTTGGGATGTCACCTCTTTAATTAGGGTCAATTACCATCCTGTTAACGACCAGCCTCCCCGTCAAGGAGCGTACACAATGATGTAGTTGAGTAAACAGCACTGGTGTTGCTACAAAAGCAGGTTGATGGTGGAGAGATGTTCAGTGCTTGTAGATAATACATCACCACTCATCTTCAACATCCTGCTCCAGAGGATAAGGCTTGGACATCCTGCTCAAGAGGAAGAGGATAATCCCATGTTGTGATTAAAGCTGCAATGTTTAAAGGTCTATTGTGTAAAGTGTTGAGAATGGGGACACAGTGAGACTGGTGTACAAAACCAAATCCACAGGGATGTTAGTAACAGTTGGTTGAAAATTTAACACAGAGAGATCAGAAATAGGCTCCATACGACATTGACTTGTCATACATGTTCTGGGCTGCAGTTCAATATGTATATAAAGAACAGGTATATTGTTCAATATTACATGAGATACCTTAAAATGTCATCAGCTTAAGATATGATTTAATTATGTGTTTATTTTTTTGTTATTAGCTTTAAGGTAATGTTCTTCCTAGCATAAGGTAAACATTTCAACTTGGGTTCTCTCTCAAACATGTTTGATGGCCAATATAAGAATTTCAGGATTTTTATGAATGAAATAGTCTGGTTCATAGGACAATTTTGTTTATATCTATTTTTGAACCTCTGTCGTTTACATTTGGATATTTGCACAGTTTTGAACCAGAAAAGTTTGTTTACTCAAGGTGTGGATCAACACCTCTTCTTGAATCAGTGCCATCAGGAAAAGTCTATATGTACTCTCTGATAGATCCTTACTATATTTACCTGGTCAGTGTCTTACTTGACATTATGTGTGGCAATTCTATTTCAGATCAAGATCCCCCAGTGATATTGAAAGGAGGTTAAAACGAAAAAAGGCAGTCAAGAAAAAGAGTATCGTGAAGAATGTAAGATTAATGAAGTTTTTGTCTTATCTTAACATTCTTCTGTTTCAACTGGAATGTCCAAATAATATTTTTTGGATGTTATCATTTCAGCTTAATGTAATGAGATTCCTGCATGGGTACAACATATGAAATAATCTAATCTTTATATCCTTCAGGGGGCACGGGCTGCCCTGTCATCTAAGGCGCCGCAATTCGCTGAGTTGTGTCCGTTGGACACACCAGAAACCTATGATTGTGGGTTCGAATCCCGGTTTGCCTCGATTATGTTTCTAGGTTTGTCAACACCATACCCGTGCTCGTGGGTTTCACCGAAGTGGTAAACCTCTGAGACCTGCATCACTTCGGGCTTTCCTCCCACATCAAGCTGACACGCCTTGATATAAACGGAATAATGTTAAAAGCGGAGTTAAACCCAACTCACTCACTTTATGTCCTTCACAGGGATAAGTCCATTGATTTCAAATTGATGAAGATGTGTCTCCGAGAGTTGTACAACAATCCCGATGTACAGATACCAAGTGTTAAAGATGCACTTCATTTTTATCTCATGTGTCCCTTTTTTAATTTTTTTTGAAAGCAATGTTGACTTTGCTCTATGATACTGCGATGTCGTTCTGGATGTAAAAAACAATGTAGCTTTAGTTACGAAAGAAAATCGGGTAATAAAACACTCACAGAACAATAATTATCATCCGGTTATAAAACACAGAACAATAATTATCAAGTTACTTTTTAATTATCAATAATTACTTGTCAATTATATAATGTATGTTATTTCTCATGTCAATTTCAATGCTTTGTAATTTGTTTGTGTATATCATGATTTGGAGAGGCACCAGATGAGCAAATTTGCTTGTTTGCCAATCCCTCCACTTTATGGAAATAAATATGTTTAAGTAAGTGTTAAAGATACAGAGAGTGTTAGAGATAGGGCTGGGACGGGTAACTCAGATAATCGAGTGGGGTGGGTAGGACACGGGTACCCACAGGACTACCTGGACCCGTGGTTAGTTATGTGATGACAAACAAAAATTTCATGGTTACTATGAGTCACCAATGTTCGCATTTCTTTCTGACTTGTATATGTTTGAGTAAAGATGATCAGATAACTTCAAAAATGTATCTGAATGATGCCATGTCTCTGGTAAAACAATTACAAGTAAGGTAAAATGGGGTTGGGTACCTGGGGAGGGTAAGGTAAAACGGAGTTGGGTACCCAGGTAGAGTAAGGTAAAATGGGGTTGGGTACCTGGGTAGAGCAAGGTAAAATGGGTTGGGTACCTCGGTAGGGTAAGGTAAAATGGGGTTGGGTACCCAGGTAGAGTAAGGTAAAATTGGGTTGGGTACCCAGGTAGAGTAAGGCAACATGGGTTGGGTACCTGGGTAGGGTAAGGTAAAATGGGGTTGGGTACCCGGGTAGAGTGAGGCAACATGGGTTGGGTACCTGGGTAGGGTAAGGTAAAATGGAGTCGGGTAGCTTGGATGAATCTCAGGTACAAATTCCGTCATTATTCCAGGTATTTAATTAAAAACAAGAGAATAATTATTTGATTGACCTACTAGCTGATAAATAATACTCTTGATCAGTGGTTGGTAAATGTAGGTCATTACAGGATGTCAATTTCCATGTAATAAATGTTCATATCACCTGTATGAACAGCTGTTGTTAGCGTCGCCCATACCCAGACTGCTGTATCCTACGTACATATCACATGCTTGGTCATGTGTGTCTGTGTTCAGATGATATTGACAAACTACTTGCAGCATGTCAAATGAAGGCGTGGTCATATAAGGTAATATGTATTTCATGGGTATAATTGATTATTGTAATGACGTAGATGGGATATTTTTTGGGATAAAACAAAAGGCTAGAATGAACATATGTTGGATTGCATGGTATGGCCTGTGTCAGACTGATCTGGTGAAGTGAAATTGTTGACTCAGCTCAATTATCTGTGAGACCTTTTCTTATCTTTGTTCCTTAGCAACAGATTTATGTGGATTTTATTAATGATTTTATTTTCTGTGGTCAGTGTGATTATCAAGTGTTTCAGTTTGTCAGTAAGACAAATGTTATATATTGGATATCAGATGGTTAATTTGACGTCCTGTTTGAAACTCTGTACATAGACCATATGTGACACTGCTGTACAAGAAACCACACTTGACATTATGAATGGCACCGTCCATGACACCACACATGAAACTAGACAGCATTCATGAAACTGGGCACCATCCATGAAACTATACATGCTTGAAACTAGACATTGCATGAAACAGGACACCGTGCATAACACATGACACCATCCATGAAACAAGTCACCATGCATGAAACAAGTCACCATGCATGAAACAGGACACCGTGTTTGAAACTAGACACTGCATGAAACAGGACACCGTGCATAACACAAGACACCATCCATCATGACACACATGAAACTAGATGCTGCATGATGTAAGACACCATGCTTGAAACAAGTCACCATGCTTGAAACAAGTCACCATGCTTGAAACAAGACTCCATGCTTGAAACAAGTCACCATGCTTGAAACAAGTCACCATGCTTAAAACAAGTCACCATGCTTGAACAAGTCACCATGCTTGAAAGAAGTCACCATGCTTGAAAGAAGTCACCATGCTTGAAACAAGACACCATGCTTGAAACAAGTCACCATGCTTGAAAGAAGTCACCATGCTTGAAACAAGTCACCATGCATGAAACCAGATATCACACTTTAAACCAGACACCACGCATGAAACAACACCTGAAACTAGACACTACATGATACAAGACACCAGGCATAAAACGAGAATCCATGCATAAAACTAGACACCATGCATAAAACTAGACACCATGCATAAAACTAGACACCAGGCATAAAACAAGACACCAGGCATAAAACAAGACACCATGCATAAAACAAGAAACCATGCATAAAACAAGACACCATGCATGAAACTTGACACCATGCATGAAAACAAGACACCATGCATAAAACTGAACATCATTCATGAAATATGACACATGAACTGAACACCATGCATGACACAAGAAGAGAAATAACACATGTATGACACCATATATGACAACATAACATCAACTTTGTCAAGGGAACTGTTTTCCTGGAGGTATTTCTCTGACAGTTGGACTATAGTTGTACTGTCTGTGCTTATAACCACTGACCATCACAATACAACCATGTATGTGATCACAACATCACACTTTACTACCAGGTGAAGATATCAATTTGAAAACCCAACAATATTCAAAGACTGACCCACAATGATGGTTGTTGTCTGGTTGACAGGACGGCTTCATCCGACACAGCCAGAGTCTAGACTCGGGGCTGAACATGGCCAATTCCCCAGAGCATGATTCTGAAAGTCGGGATGCAAGTGAAGGACTGAAAGAGGACGGGGTACTAGAGGACATCAATGGGGACCCTGGTCTCCCTCCATCTGGGAGGGTTCCGCTCAGGCAGCAGTCTAGGGTAGGTACAAGTGATGTTCTGGAGGGTTCTACTTGGGCAACAGTTGAGGGTAGGTACAAGTGATGTTCTGGAGGGTTCTACTCAGACAACAGTCTAGGGTAGGTACAAGTGATGTTCTGGAGGCTCTACTTAGGCAGCAGTCGAGGGTAGGTACAAGTGATGTTCTGGAGGGTTCTACTTAGGCAACAGTGTCGGGTAGGTACAAGTGATGGTCTAGGGTAGGTACAAGTGATGTTCTGGAGTTTCTACTTGGGCAACAGACTAGGGTAGGTACAAGTGATGTTCTGGAGGGTTCTACTTGGGCAACAGTCTAGGGTAGGTACAAGTGATGGTCTAGGGTAGGTACAAGTGATGTTCTGGAGGTTACTGCTGTAATAGAGCTGAGGGTTCTTTCAGAAATAATCCCAGTCTCATCATCATCCAGTTCTCATCCCATTCTCAGCCCAAGCATGCCATTTTAGATTATCATGCTTGGTTTTCCAGTACCATACTCCTGCTCGCGGGTACCAGGGATGGTGGGATAGCCAAGTGGGTAAAGCGCTTGCTCACGACGCCGAAGTGGTAAAATCTAGGACCTGCACTTTAGGCTTCCCTGGAACATACTGCTGACAAGCTGTGGTCTACTGTATTCGACAAAATAAGCGCCCAGGGCGCTTTCAAAAATAGAAACAGGGGGCTCTTATTAGAATATTATTTTGGTGAAAAAAACAGAGTTGAAAGATAAATATCGTGGTTTATGCTGACAGCTTGAAATGTTTATGTACAACAGATATATTTTTCCAGAATATAATTGCCCATAATTAAGGGTGCATATAACACACTAGTGCGTAGTATACACGAACAAAATAAGTCTTGTTTACATTGATCAATCGGAACGGGTGCTTATTTGGATTGTTCACTCGCCAATATATTAGCCAATATCTTTGTGGGCGCTTATTAGAACGGGAAGCTTATTACGTCGAACACGGTAACTCCAATGCTGATACATGTATATATTTTTATATCATTGTACTTCACTGTATATCACCATGTCAGTGCCTCTCACTGTCTATCATTGTATATCATTGTATATCCTCACGTTGCAGTTGCCCTCTGTAGACGACTACTTCACGTTAAGGTTTGCGGACAACATCGATGGTGAGGATGTAGAGGTGGTCGCTGCTGTCAAGAACGTCACACTGCAGTAAGTCTATGCTCAGTTTTTAAAAACTTGCATGCATTTGAATATCTAGATAGATACTATGTCTAAGTTTATACCTGTTTTGGTGATAACTGAATAGTTTGAACTAAATAAAGCTATCTGAACATGCAAACAAACTTTTCTACATTATAAGGGTAAATTATTCAAGCAACCACAGGTGTAATGTAATGCATTTCAATATTTTTTGTTTGTATGTGTGGAGGGCAGAGAGGTATTTATGCTGTGCAATTGCATTTATACATTTTTTAAGATGACAAGTTATCCTGTACAGATAGGGACCACCTCCTGTGGTCGTGGTAGATGTTACTTGTTGTTACCCTGTCTGGCGCTGGGCATTAAGGGGCTAAAACAAGGACTGGTCGGCTCAGAGTCAGTATACTGTGTCTGAGTGGGGTATTCATGTTAAACTGCGGCATGGTATCTCAGTGTGCTAGCACTATAAATCGGCATCAGTCCGGACTAGTACAAGAAGCTACACACACACACATGCATGCACGTCGCTATATAAGTGCAATAATCTTGGACGCGACATTAAACCCCATTTCACCTCACCTCACCTGAACACCTGAGTGACTTAGTTGTGTTGTCACCTGTCTCATGCCATGTTAACACTTCTCCGGCGTTGTGTCGTCTTCCAGAGAGACTCTCCATCCCATACTGGAACGTCGGAACCTGGATTGTTCCAAAGTGGATGTATTTGTAGCTGACTCCAAGACGCCTCTTCCCATCAACTGTGATACATTCAACCTCGCAGGAAGCACTTTGCACATTAAATCTTCCGATCGCAGTGAGTAGCTCGACATCATTGCTCAAAGATAGTTGACCTTTTTCAACTACTTTTAAAATTAGGTATGGATGAGAAATTTCTTTTAGGAAAATGATAATGAAGTGACGTTGTGTGTTCAGGGATGGTCAAATATAGGGTTTTATTCCCCAGAATGTGTTGCATGGTTTTAGACAAGGAGAGCACCATTTGGCTTGAAGTGTTAAAAGATGTTATTTTTCACTGAAATAGTTTTTTGGCACAATGTTATCACCTGGTAATTGCATAGGTTACATAAGGATTTGTTCTTTTTCAGAACATTGTCTGTTCTTTGTGTATGCTATGTAAAGAGTTGTAAAGGATTTTTTATTTTGTTATTGTAAAGGAATCATATTTCTCATCCAAACATTGTAGATATCGCTGCAATGAAATTGCATCACAATGCTTTGCAGACCATTGTGACATCACTGGTTACCTTGACGTCACAATCAAATGACATCACTAATGGCTCTGCTACTGAAGCTGTTAGCAGTACTTTTTACACTGAAGACACTGCTTATTACTGTTACGTTGGAAGGATGATAAATATAATCTCACCCGAGTGTTGATATATTTGATATCAAAAGACACTTGGGTGAGATTCTCTATATATGACATTTGTGTGGATGAAGGCTGCCCATCGTCAATTCTGGATCATTAAATAAAAGATTCAGTGTTGATTGCATCAAAGTTCCTCCTTTGAAATATTGACTCACTGTTACAGAATTTCTAAATCTGACAAATGATAGCAATAATAAGCAGAAAGTACCTGCTAAGTTCTACCGACAAGCTTGAATATCCAACAAATTTGGCAACTTTCCAATGCATTGTTGATTGATTGTTTGTTGTAATGCTGCACTCAGCAATATTCCAGCTATGTGACGGCGGTCTGTAAATAATCAAGTCTGGACCAGACAATCCAGTGACATCATGAGCATCGATCCACGCAAATGGGATACAATGTCATGCATCAACTAAGTCAGCGAGCCTGACCACCCGTTCTTCTCAGTAGTCGCCTCTTACGACAAGCATAATTCATTATGAAGCGTGTACCTAGAATTCCTTTACAAAATGAAACTTAATGTCATACAAATGATGATATAAGAAGTTTTAAAATATTCTCAATAATGTTTGCAACATTGCATAACAATGTCTACAATGTCAGCAATGATTAGCTGATAGAACCTACTTCTATGAACAATATATAAAATGTATGAAAAAATTATTGATAGAGTATGCAAAGTTTGATCATAAAAATTATCGTTCCACAATAATAAGCTGAAAGCTGAAATCTAAAAATATAATAATATATATAAAATGTATGAAAAAAAAATATTAATAAAGTATGCAACACTGTATTTTTATACCATGTCAACGCTATTAATCCGAAAAAAATTATTGAATTCAAAGATATCGGCTTGAATATCAAAAGAACTACATTTTCATTGCAAGGCCATCTGTAGTGTGTAAACTCATTTGTCCAAGTGGTATGTTTGTTTAACTCTAATTGCCAGCGTTTAATCAACAAAGCTGTCAAGGGCTCAGCTACAGGCCGTGATTAAGGAAATATGGCATTAGAAGTATCAGAGGTATGAAGCAAGTCCCTGAGAAAGGACGACCGTCTCCCCAGAGATCAATACGGTTGGAATCATGGCCCAAATCTCTTCTAATCAAACACCCATGAATGTCAGTGATGATGTTTTTAGGCTGAGCCTATTCAATAAACCTAATAGGCTCCAGCGATCTTGTTACCAGCTATCTGCAAGGCTCTAACTGACTTAGTGTGGACACTAATTAAAACCATATTGCCTGCACTTGACTCCTGTTAATTAAGGCCGGAGAGACACTCATGTGATGGGAGGAAGAACACAGTGAGATTGGCAGCTGAACTTGTGCATTACAGTCTGTGATTGAAATACAACATGTAATCCCGCCCCTGTGATCAAGTTTGTATTGTGAAGCACCCATGTAGATACTGGGATTTTACGCCACACTTTGCTACGACTGTGTCAGATAGAGCAGAGGCATCGCTTCTAGTCTGTTCGGACCCGATCAATACTAGCTCTCGTATTGACTTTCTGTCGTAAATTCTCTGCCGGAGATCGCGAACGGCAAGCTAAGAATTCCTCAACTAAATGGAACTGAGGGAGGGACCGGTATCGCTTGCGTGTAGTCCAGCTAAATGCTTGCTTTCATAAATGGGACCTTTAGATCGAAACTAACCAATCCAGTTTTAATGGGCTACATCCAAAGATGATTGTCCCAGTTTGGACGGAATGGTCCAGAAACCTAATGGTACAGATTTGGGAAATTGTGTGCGAGGACTATGAGTGTAGAACGACCGAATGTGTAAAGGAAGACGGCCGTAGTGATTGGATTAAGATACAGTATGGGGACACAGGAGTGAGGTTGTTGTGAGAGCAGGACTTGTTCACAACGATTGGTCGATTCTTGCCGTCTTCTCAATGAAGCTTTTTCTCAGTTTGCCTAGATAAATAGACTTACTGATATACAAAAATAGAATTGATAGTTTGCCCCATTGAGATCTTTATAGGCTTCTCCAGGGCATGAAGGAGAGTCATAAAATTTATGGAAGAAATAAGTAATTTCCATTCAAGTTTTTGGCCCGGAGCCAAGAATGATATAATGTAGGAAGTTGGCGTTTCGACGATGGAAGAATGGAGTAAATACGCTCCATTTATTGTGGATATATTCGCAGATGAGTTTCAACAGGAAGGTAAAATGGAGTGTTGTATTGTAATTTGGTTTGTCGTTGTTTATCATTTCGTCAATTAATATTGTTTTAGTAATAGTCTCGGAATTTTTGGTAATGGTCGGCGATGCTGGTGTGTGCCCCATGCAGAAATAAGCCACTTATATATGCAAGATGAAACAAGGAAGGTGCACCGACAAACTGGGCAAAACTTTTTGCTGATCAAGGCTTTGGTATTTGGGTAGTTTACGTAAGACTTGCAGTGAGTGAGTGAGTGAGGTTCAACAATGGATGACAACCTCACCATGCAAATAACCAGTACCTAAGTAAGCACTAGATGTCTTCCTTATCAAGGTCAGTACCTAAGTAAGCACTGGATGTCCTTCTTACCAAGATCGGGCGGTCGGGTAGCCTAGTGGTTAAAGCGTTCGCTCGTCACGCCGAAGACCCGGGTTCCCTTCCCGACATGGATACAATGTGTGAAGCCCATTTCTGGTGTCCCCCGCCGTGATATTGCTGGAATATTGGTAAAAGCGGCGTAAAACCATATTCACTCACTCACTCTTACCAAGATCAGTACCTAAGTAAGCACTGGATGTCTTCCTTACCAAGATCAGTACCTAAGTAAGCACTCGACGTCTTCCTTACCAAGATCAGTACCTAAGTAAGCACTGGCATCTTCCTTACCAAGATCAGTACCTAAGTAAGCACTGGACATCTTCCTTACCAAGATCAGTACCTAAGTAAGCACTGGACGTCTTCCTTACCAAGATCAGTACCTTAGTAAGCACTGGACGTCTTCCTTACCAAGATCAGTACCTAAGTAAGCACTGGACGTCTTCCTTACCAAGATCAGTACCTAATTAAGCACTGGACGTCTTCCTTACCAAGATCAGTACCTAAGTAAGCACTAGAAGTCTTCCTTTCCAAGATCAGTACCTAAGTAAGCACTAGAAGTCTTCCTTACCAAGATCAGTACCTAAGTAAGCACTGGATGTCTTCCTTACCAAGATCAGTTCCTAAGTAAGCACTGGATGTCTTCCTCACCAAGATCAGTACCTAAGTAAGCACTAGAAGTCTTCCTTACCAAGATCAGTACCTAAGTAAGCACTGGACGTCTTCCTTACCAAGATCAGTACCTAAGTAAGCACTGGATGTCTTCCTTACCAAGATCAGTACCTAAGTAAGCACTGGACGTCTTCCTTACCAAGATCGGTACCTTAGTAAGCACTGGACGTCTGCCTTACCAAGATCAGTACCTAAGTAAGCACTGGATGTCTTCCTTAGGGATGTGGGTAAGGTTATTGGGTAGGGGGTAGGGTTTGGATGGGTGGTAGTTTTATTGGATGGGGTGGTAGGGTTTGGATGGGTGGTAGGGTTTTTGGATGGGGGGCTAGGGTTATTGGGTAGGGGGTAGGATTATTGGATGGGGTGGTAGGGTTTGGATGGGTGGTAGGGTTTGGATGGGGTGGTAGGGTTATTGGGTAGGGGGTAGGGTTATCGGATGGGGTGGTAGGGTTTGGATGGGTGGTAGGGTTATTGGATACGGGTTTGCAACGGATGGGTAGCAAGTGTTGACTTCTACCACTTAAATATTTTTCTTAAGGAGTTCCTGATGGAGATTAAAGAAAAAAGCAATAGCTATTAAAAATTCACAGCTTTAAAGATAGCTAATGGTGGAACAATAAGGTCATGGGTGGGCAGTGACCGTATAAAATATTCATTCAGGAATATACTAATTGTATCTGGTTTCTTGTCTCATGCTCTTAGTTCCATTGATATGGGTTCGTCTTTTGTCCTGTTTTACAGCTATTTTCAGTCAAACAAACAGTTGGTACCAATAAGTTCTGTGATCAAATTTTAAACATGGCCACTATGGCAGCCATGTTGTAAATGTGTTTTCTCTGCTGTGTCTATGGTAATAATGAATGTTTTTGTGTGCAATTAATGGTATGGTTTCAGCATCATTTCCATCATTGTCTTGACTCAACTGCAACTCATTTTAATTTTCACAGAATCATTCAGATTACTGGCATTTCTGTTTTCTCCAGGGGGCACGGGTAGCCAGGTCATCTTAGGCGTGTCCCATGGGCAAGCCTTGGGCAAGCCTCTGATTGTGCTTTCGAATCCTGGTTTGACCCTATTCTAGGTTTGTCAGCACCATACCCAGGGGTGAGAATATTCCGTGGATCCGCGAAATTTATTGACCACAAATTTGTGAAACAACCCCCATAAACACCCTCAAATCATGGACCATGCTCCACTGAAAAGA